ATTTTTTATAAATTTTCAGGAGAGACGAAAACGAAATCATAACATGTCCCTTTTCTGTTGTAAACTGTTATTTTCAAGTGCTATTTTCATATGTTCCGACGGACGGATTTGTCCCCTTTCATACTATGTATCGTTTAAGACAGTAATTTATACATATTAAAAATCAATAAAATTACCTACTATAAAATAATCTGTAAATTCCAACGGTTTTTAAATTTTTAATGAATCTGTTACAATTACTGAAAAAATGAATTAGTATAATAATATAATAGCGTATTTTATTCATTAAAACATTTAACTGAGATATTTGAAGTATGTTTTAATAACAAGTACATATTATTAAATAGGAACTTCAAATTTCAAATGCTTATATAATTATAAATATAATAGGCAATTAGTTACTACAAATGTCTTTATTTGAAAATAATATATACATACATAAACATTTCTTTTTTGATATTATAGATAAGCATTTTAAGGATATTAATTTTGAACAGATTTTCATTTAAAATATTAAGGATCTTCAAAAAAAACTAATTCATACAAAAAAAAGGTGGGTAAGTGGATGTCGCTCTGCTGTACAGTAGGTTACAAGTGGGTCACTGTATAATGGATGCTAATAAATTTGAATTCAATGATACAATATCATTGTATAAGAAAAACGATTCTGAGCGAAGACGGTATGTCAGTCTAGGTTTAATACAAATTATATACATATCTATGGTATTAAAAAAAAAATTGACCTATAATAAATTTCAAATTAATCATATCACATTATCACAATATCCATTAGGTACTTATAACACGTTATACATCAACATCAACAACAAACCCTGATACTATCATATATATATAATAGTACACTTTAGAAGTTTCAAGTAGGTACCCACGAATAATATTATACCTATAATCACATCAAAATAACTAGGTTTTTTAATATGTAATTTCGTCCAAATTTGAACATAAAATGACTATAAAAGTAAACTGTGATTGTATATTTTTTAGATTTTTCGGTAAGAGAATTTACTACTTACGTGGAATCTTGTTTTAAATTTTCAATCCTTAGCTATAAAAACTGAACATTTTATAATTTATTAATTACGATGATTAATAATTTTCGAGATTTTGAAAAATTCTATCAAAATTCGATGTTAAAATGCTTATAAAAAAAAATTGTGCCTATGTATTTTTAATATTTTTCAACTGATATTGTAACAATATATCAGGAGCCTTGTATTAAATTTTTACACTTTTTGGCCCAACAGATAAAACTTAATTGATATTTATAGAAAAAAAAAACTAAAAAAATTGAAAACTGAAAATGTCCGTAAACGGCTCAAAAAGTGTTAAAATATTTTCAAAATTGTAGGGTGTATAGGAAATGCTAATATAAACATTCAGTGAAATTTTCATGTATCTACAGTAATTCGTTTTTTAATTACAACAAAAAAGGAAATTGCCACATGAGAAATCGAGTGAATATCCAATGTTGTAAAAATTTGAATTTCAAACGCTCATAAAAATTTAATTTGACTTTCCGGTAGAAATTTTTTTATTGATAAAGGTAGACAATCTTATGAGTAATCTTGTATTAGATTTTCAAATCTTAGATTTAAAAAGAAAAATTTTTACGAATTCTTAACTCAAAATAATTTGCTAATTTTCGTGATTTTTCCATATTTTGTCAATTTTTGAACTTTAAATGCTTATAAAAAAAATTGTGACTAAGGATTTTTAATATTTTTCATCTGCCTTTGAAACAACATATTAGGAGCCTTCTATTAAATTTTCAAGCTTTCGCAACCAACAAATAAAATTTTATTGAAATTTTTAGAAAAAAAACTAAAAAAAAATGGAAAATGAAAATGTCCCTAAACAGTTCAAAATAAATCAAAATATTTTGAAAATGTTATCGTGTATAGAAAATGCAAATATAAACAACCAGTGAAAATTTCATGTATATACGTTCATTTGTTTTAGAGTTACACCAATAACCAAAATCGATTTTTTGGAAAATCAATTTTGCGTAAAAATTCCCGTTTTTCCTTAATTTTTATGTTGTTTTTCCCGGCGCTTGTGAAAACTACTGGGAAATTTAAATTTTGACCTCCCCAATGCACCAACGATATTCACTTTCCAATCGAACAAGATACTGAAGTCGAAAATCGAAGCATTATTTCGACTACTTATCGTGTACACAGATACAAAAAAAATAAAAAAATAAAAAAATAAAAAAATAAAAAAACACACATCATTGTAAAATCAATACATTCATCGTTTCACTCAGAATCTAAAATTAAAATTGTTATAACATAAATTAATTTATCAGATCATTATAGCTGATCATTTGACAAGCCATTTCAGGGACTTATGTCTCCGATATGCCGATATTCATTTACATACATATTAAATAATGCTTATATTACTTATTTGGAGTATTAACTTAGAATTCACCAACTGACAGTCGTCAGTCTCCTGGGTTGTAGTTATAGAGTTAGGTTAGATGACTTACTAGTAACTGGCCATTGGTCATGATGATAGTTTCTTTTCAGTCTTTTTGGTGGGTTACCGAATACCGGGAATAGTTTTGGTTACATTTTCTTCTAGGATTTTTGGGTAATTGAGGCGTTAGTTGAATTAAAATGTGTAGGATTTTATACCGGTTTCTAGTAAGTACTGTGCTTATTTTTACGTCTAAGCATTTGGTTAGATATATTTAGAAGGGACTTTTGTTATTAATTGAACAATTTTGCTGTGTCTTATATTTGTATTTTGTTTAGGTTTGAATTTTCCACGGTTCCCCAAATTTAGATGCCGTACATCTAAATTGGTTTTAGAAGAGTTTTATAAATACTTAGTTTAGTGTAGCCACTGTCTCGTGAAAGTTTTGATTTTGGGTTAAAGGGAAATTTAAGAAAATGAATACCTAGAGTAACCTAGAGTTTGGTGTCCTGGGTATGTCCAAGGTAAATTTTTTGTAAAACTATGTTCCGAGATATTTCGTGTTCACAGTGGTTGGAATTAAGATATTGTTAAATGTATTTTGGTGCAAATTTCGTGTTTGAGAATAAAAGTGGATGGATTTATTTTCTATAGTTTTAACTATCCGGTTTTATTCTGATATATGACTGTATAGTTGGTTAGATGTGGTATTTGATATTATTTTGTGAACTGAGAGAATCACCTAATTATCGGAGTATTCAGTGACAAAGTTGATAGAATAAGTGTGTTGATCTGCTATGGTTGATATAATATGTTGAATAGGATAAGGGCTGTTACTGCGTTTGGAGGAAAATATGGTGGAGATGGGCGAGATTCTAGAGTGGTATCAAACAACAAATCGAGAAACAGGAAAAAAAATTATCAGAACCTAGATAAACCTTGGTAATCGATTGTGTGTTTAAAGAACTTTAATTTAGTAGTAAAAAAAAAACATAGAACATTAGGTACCTTTATTCTGTTCATCGAGAGTAGCTTTCGGTTCTGCGCATCCCCCCCCCCCCAAGTTACCCTGTTATCGGAATCGGTTACCATATGGCAGGGTGTGGCGTGGGGCAATCAGTTTTGGTCGATGCGTGACGGGTTCTCTCGCCTACCAAAGTATAGTTATTACGATTATTTAGAATTTATTCTTGTTTATAAAAGGAATGCTATAGTTTTTATCACTATAGATGTGATAAGTTTTAAAATTCTGCCATGGTAGTCAGTACTTATATAAACTTATCTAGTACTTATTTTAACAACCATTTTAACCCCGTTAATTAATAATTACAAAAATGCACAGTAAAATAAAAAATTGTAATTTTATAATCGCCCTTTACATGAAATTAAAATTCCGTTTTGCTGAAAAAAATTTTATTCATTAAAATTGATAATATCTTTCTATAATGAAATGTCAACAAAAAAATTTTAATTAAAAAACATATTTTACCAAATTTAAAATGTTAAATTATTTCAACTGGCTTCGCTGAAAATATAATATGTTTAAATTAAAACTCAGTCGATCACTCTTTCCAATTCGCTGAAAAAGTACCAAACAACTTAACGACAGTAAACGAAAACAATTCTAATAAATACGAAGTGATAAACAAAAATTTTGAAAACAGACTTTGAAAAAACAAAAATACTGCAAATCCCAAAGCAGCATACGGTTCTCCTCTCAAATTGGCAACCCAGTCAATCGGCGAACTGCTACACACTAGGGCATCTCGCCAAAACTGTTGTCGGTTTTACATATTTGCACATTCACAATACTCTCGAGGGACAATAGTATTAGCAACCTTTAGCTAATATAACTTTACCCTTTGCAAATATTGGTTAAGGGTTTCAGTTGGTTTTTATTATTGTGGTTATTTCGATTTATTACATACTTGTTGGATACGTCTGAAACGATGTGCAAATATTTACAAGAAATGTATTCAATAATTTTACATTAAAACACAAATACGTACTAGTAGAATTATGTACAATGAACATATGGGTAGTATATTGTAACTGAAAATTATAGCAAATATAGATTTATTTATAAATCTTTTGTGATTATGAAATAATTTGCATATAATTGATTTTTATTAGAATGAATAAGTAAAACATTGGTAAATTACAAAAACTTCAGTGTTGTTAAAAGATTATTGGATTATTCGTAAATTTCATCTTGTTATTAATTTGTCAATCTTGTAATAGACAAAACAAAAATTGTTTTAAAAAATAGTCTATCCGAATTCGTAGAAAATAAATTGTCATTGCTAATTAAAAAAAAGTATATTGTATTGTGCATGTGCCATGTCCTGGAAGTGTTAAAAATTTGAAATTTTCTCAAAGTATGTACTTTGATTTCAGTCCAAGAATGTGAAATATTTAGTGGTACTTACCTCTTAGCGTGACTGTATTTGATATCAAACTCTTATTATTAAAAAAATCCATAACAAGTCCCGATTTTATTATATAATATCTTACCTTAAAAAGTAACAAATTATCTAAATCTAAAATGTATTACAGGTATGGCGACATGCCTCAAGGACGTATTTATCGAAGTCCCAATAGCGATAAGAGAAGGTACCACTGCCATACTGCGATGTGACTATGACTTAGAACAAGAAGCTTTGTACACGGTCAAATGGTATAAAGGCCGTCGGGAATTTTTCCGTTTTGTGCCTAAAGAGTTGCCGCACACAAGAGTGTTCCCTCTGGCCACCATAAACGTAGACGTAAGTTTAGCATATGTAATTAGTGTAGTGTAGTCGTTTCCAGAATCAGCCAAATGGAATAACTGATAAACTTCATGTGGCTCGTTGCCATCACAAGTTTTCACACACCTACCTTTTTTCGGGTGAATTAATTAAACTTCAAAAATGTAAAAAATATTTCGTTTTTTTTTTTTTTAAGGTCAGCGAATCAGGGCCAAACCAAGTGGTGCTGAGACAAGTGACGCCCGAATTGGATGGCAAGTACAGATGTGAAGTTAGTGCAGACGCGCCAACATTTCACACACAAATTGTAGCTGCTTGGATGCACGTTGTCCGTACGTATTAGTATAATCTCGTAGATTTATAACATAGAAAACACGTAACAAACTTAAAACAAATATCGAGCCTTTTTATACATTCAAAATAAATGGTTTAATTTATTTAAATTATTATTTTCAAGTATAAATGTTAAAATATATTAAGTAATAAATTCAGAATTATATACAACGCCTCAACTTGTTTATTTCTTATATGGCTTGTAAATTTATAAATTTTAAAACTATAGTAAATTTAATTAATTGATAAAATAATAATTTCAATTTGTTGGCCAACTTTAAGTGAATATACCAATTTTCCATTATTATGTTAACTAAATAACATTAGAGTTGTATTATTTATATTTTAGGAACAATGGAAGGCAAACCAGAGTTACATCTTGAAAAGCCACAGTATTCACTAGGTGAGAAGTTGAGAGCAAATTGTTCATCACCACCCTCAAATCCACCTGCAAATATCACTTGGTTTATAAACGATAAAGAGGTAAGTAGAATAACATTTGATTATAATTAAAATTATGTTGCAAAAATAGTACCTATACCAAGTCAAAGTTTACTATAATACCCTACATTATATTATAAATCTTTTAAACTTAATATATAATAAGAACACAAAATTTAAAAAAAAAATTAGTTTTATACCCAGTTTTTTTTCGTTGTTATTATCCGATTTTATAACTTCTTTAAGACTACAAAATGTATTATATAATATATAGCTTTGACTAGGTAGACATAAGGCAATGTCATCTTATCGCACAACTCCCAGCATGATTAAATAATTAAGCAAACTACAGACGTTTTTTGGTACGTTAATTGTTTTTCCAAAACGTATTCAAAAGAATGATATTTTAATTAAAACGTATTATGCTTATGTAAATTGGGTACTTTTAAACCTATTCTTTCCCACGCGCAATACCCAATGGTCTTAAATCTGTTTGATAATATCAGATAAAACAAATTTAAACTTTTTTATTAATTATATTGTGATTTGTGATTAGACTATACAATATTTATTCAAGGTTAAGCAAATTAATTATTTTTTTTTAATATATTTTGTAACTAAAGGTCTATCAATAAATATAAATAGTTAAAACAAATATACGAGTCATAAATAAAAAAGAAAATACAAAATTATCCAACTACACAATATAGCAATAATTGTAATAATCAACCACATTTTTATTTTAATGGATTTGTTGAGAAATTATATTAGTGATAACTGATAACCTGTATCTTTTCTTATTATATTTTTTACATTTCTATATATATATATATATATATATATATATATACTATCTGATCCGTGCACTTCGTTGCCCTTAAAAAATGACAACTCTTTCAAATTGTGATTGTTCAAATCATTTTGGATGTAACTCGCTTCAGTAAGTGAAATTCAGCCACCCCGGTAGGGAATCCGACTAAGTCAGATCGCGGACAATTTTCAACAGTATATCAAGTAGACAACCCAACTGTGGTGGATTGCGGACAATCGACAACCTCTATAAGTGCAACATATTGGTAGGCAGTAAGCGACAATCCGATTCTTGATTAACCAATGTACAAATAAAACACTAATAAAAATACTTCAGTAATTAACCTAACCATTTTTGTTTAGTTGAAGATTTTAATAATTTTACTGATTCAAAAGTTGATGACAGACATAAACATAAATAAATAAATCATGCAATTATTTTCTATTCATTGTTCCGCCTAAAATTTAAAATGATAGAAAATGTAAGTTATCAGTTGTTAAGGAAATACATTACAATTGTATGTTAGCTTAACGTAGAATTCATCTGTGGAAAAAAAAATACCGGATAAGTGTATAACATACCTGATACCTATATGGTATTTATTATTTATATGCCTATATACATTTGAAGGAAGAATGCCAAGTTACATGTACAAAATTGATCCATCGGTTTTATTCTTTCACGATTATTATGAATCAAGATGTATGTATTTAAATATAAAGATTCTTCTAGAAGATGATTTTTTTGTTTTTATTAAATAGCCAGATGGCTATGATTCTATATTAATCAGTTTTAAAATTATCTTGAAGTTATTTTCACTACAAGTTATTAGAAAATGAACAATATTCCTCTTTGTAGAACTACAGAATAATGGTAGTGAGATTATATTATAACTATTTAACAGAGTATCAATTTTAACCAAATCTAGCATTTTGAAAGAAATAGTTTTTATGATAAGGTAAAAAATAAAGATAAGAAGACATCTTTTCTTTTTCTCAAATAAAAAGATTTCTTATTAAGCCTAGTAATATCTTATTTTGTATCAAATGAATCTTCTTCAGATCAGTAGATCAATTTGTTTAACAGAAAACAGTTAGATTGATTATTTAGTAGATATTATCTACACGTAACTATAGTTTTTTTATTATTTTAACTCAGTAATAGGTAATTGGAAACAAATTTAAAAGTTGAATTTTTTTTAGTTTACAGTACTTTACCAATGTAATAAGTACCTATATCGGAATATAATATAATATGCAATACAAATCAATTTACCAAATTAAATATAGGTATCGGGTTTAATTCTAAATATATTGTAAATTCTTTTATTTTTCAGTTGGCAGTTAAAAATGGGTAGGCATGTATGTAGGTAATATATTTTGATTTATAGGTACACTTTAGTACCTACCATAGGATTATATTATTATAGTATTGCATACTCAAATATTAATTATTACATTATTTTTAAATGTTATAAAAAGTATTATTACGATTATAATTCAATAGGCATAATATATGATTTCTAATAAACATTTCTACGGTATATATTTTTTGATGGTCTTAGTGATTTATCTTTTATATTGGTTGTAATATAAATGGTATTTTTAGAGTTTACACCACTTTAGAGGATGTTTTTTATTTTTTGTGGTTGTTTTCATGTCAGTTATTTAAGTGTGAAGTTGAACTTGACAACTAAAACATAATATTTTTCAACACAATACAATTTGTATTCTTAATTTGTTTAGTTTCGTGTAAACTGCTGTGTATTTTTAATTTGTTAGGTCCTCTACGTACAGCTGTCACATAATCCTAATTTCATTACATATATTCTTTATAATACTCATAGTTCTAGCCTAGGTTAGGTTAGGGAGAGCCCTATTTGATTAATTTTGAATTTATTGTATTATGAAAGTTGAATTGCGAATTTAAAATAGAATTTGTACATAACTTACTTGGACCCAATATGGTTTGAACAATATTGTGTTTGGACCTATAACAAACAACATAAGACATAACATCCTAAAAACATAATATATTTCACTTGCTAATTACTACTCACAGGTGGTGCTTAATATTTTTCAGGTTCGATATTAGTAATAAAAGATGATTAAAATGTTCTAGACCAAAATTATATTTATTTATTTAAGTCGTATCGTCAAATTATATTCTCTTATGGCATAGAACATTAAGTTCGGGGAATCAGTTGTGTAACAAAATATTAATTGGATTGTTGAATAAAAACAATCATGACTGCTGTCAATTGATACCACTTTCCAATTGAGTTGATAAATATTATTCAAACATACTGACCTTCGAATTTTCCGATACTATTTAAATTTATTCTTTTAATCAGGACTTTTGGCTATGTTTGTAATGGTGATACAGTATTGGATCCAGAAGTTATCCAAGGAAGGGAGTGCATTGTTAAAAATTAAATTACCTTTTTAAGCCAAATAACATAAAAAGAGTCCCTTCGCACCTCCCTGTATCAGCCACTGGGGTGATATTCGTGTCTTGATGAAGTATAGAGTTCAAACTTCCTAATAGTATACACAATTACTCAATTAGTTTTACATTTAAATTCTATACTTATAGCCTGTAGGTAGCTAATAATATTTCTCTGTAATATCGTAAAAATGTAAACTTTTAATAATTATATCGAAGAATTTAATTTAAAAAATATGATTTAGGTATGTATAATATATGTAAAATGCATATACGTTTTCAGAATTATATCGAATTTAAAGTTGAGTTGAAAAAATCATAAGCATTAATTTTGTTTTAGCTGGGAAATGGTCGCATAATCAGAATACCATCATCCAGGCCATCCGGTCAATTATTTAAGACTGTCTCGTCAATTGAATACGACGTTTTAATTGCTGGTAAGCTGAAGGTGAAATGCCAAAGTGACATATACCACGTCATCTGGTCGGAAACTGAAGTAATGCTGGACGAAGATAAACCAAGACTTGCGTCTATTCTACAACCACATGGTCATTCAGCAGGTAAACACTTATATTAAATTATATTGATATTTATCTTTAAATGTATTTCAATTGAAAAACAAAATCATTTTCAATCTTATGAAAATTAGTGTCACCAAATATTTAATATAATAACAAGATAATAATAATTTTTTTTTTTAATTCAGCAAGACTACAATATAAGTTGAAATTTAAAACACACTTGCAGTAACTATTTGCACTATTATTTATATTTCAAATTCATTAATGTTAAAATTCGAAATATTTACAATTTTAAAAATAAATATAAATTCACCAATACCATTTCAATTAATTGAGCTGAAATAACCATCACGACATTCAACATATTATACTATTCGAACATGTAATATAATATGTAGCAGCACATGTTAGATGACAGCATTTGAAAATTGTAAGCTACATATTATAACCTATTGGCGATTTTATAGATATTGAGTTACAATATACATTTTTACGAAACTGGATATTTAAACGAAAAATTGTGATTTCCCCTCAAACGACTTTAGTTACATTTTTGTAATTCAAACCATATTAATCATAGTGACTTTAAATCTTGTCACCATTAAGTATATTAGTATTATTTTCTATACACCATACAATTTTAAAAATATTTAGGCTCATTGTAAGCTATTATTATATGACAAATCTATTCACACCGTTCTACAGTTTCTACTTAAATATTATTATCATATTGACTTTTGACTATTTCCATTCATATACAATATTTTTGGCAGACATTAGTAAGTTATCCCCACTGAATTAAAATTAAAATATATATAATATAAACTTCGTACCTATGTAGAAATAGATGCTGATCATCCAGCCGTCTCTTTGGATAGGGGGAAGATAAAAATTTAAAACATTTTTTTTCTACAAACGTTGATAAAAAACATTTCGTTTGGTCAAAAAGCTTAAAAATATGTAATACTAGATTTCATTTAAGATTTGTTTTTTTTTTTTTAAAATGGCGTTTATTGAAAATTTACAATCTGTACATTATATACAATAAGTAAATATGATAAGTATAGCTAAAAACAAAAACAATGGCTTTGAATGACGTGTAGGAAGGCTCGCAGTCGAGTCACCCTTTTACAGTGAAATTAATTTTTATATGTAATAATGTATAAATGTGTTTTATTGATTAAGAAGATCTCTGCACCAGTTTCGTTTGAGACGTCTTGTGGGGTTGTCAGGAAGCATTTTGGAGGCCAGTTGTGAAATGAGGTGGTTGTGGTTCCTACGGAGTTTCCCATGAAACCTTTTGTAAAAATTAGTGGCTGTGTCGTGGATGGTTTTGATTTGGAGTTCATCGTGGAGTAATTTGTTCGTTACGTACCAGGGAGCTTTAGCAATGATACGGAGACAGATTGATTGAAAAGCTTGAATCGTTTGAGTATTGGATTTTTTGGCTGGGCCCCAGAGTATGATGCCATATGTCCAAATGGGACGGAGGAGACATTTGTATATAAGAATTTTGTTTTGGAAGTTGATGTTGGATCTTAGTAAGGGCCTGAGTAGGTGAAGTCTGCTGTTTAACTTTTTTCGCTTGTCCTTAAGATGAGGACCCCAAGTAAGTCTTCTGTCGAGTGTAAGACCGAGATATTTGACTTGGGTGCAATGCGGAATAGTAGAGTTGTTCAAGGTGATCGGAGGGCAGTCTAGTGGTCTTAGAGAAAAGGTAATATGCGATGATTTGGTTTCGTTGATTTTGATCCCCCATTTGTTGAACCAAGACAAAAGGGTGTTTAGGTGGGTTTGGATTTGTTGACTGGCAATGACAGGGTCAGCATTTGAGGCAAGTATGGCTGTGTCGTCTGCGTACGTTCCGATGAGAGTGAACTGGTTAACTGGTATATCCGCAGTGTAGAAAATGTAGAGAAATGGGGCAATGTCACTGCCTTGAGGAACGCCTGCTAGAACGCTATGTTGGGTTGACAGTTTGGCGTTTATTCTGACTTTGAACGATCTGTTTTCGAGGTAAGATTTTAGGAGTAGGTAGTAAGGGGCTGGGAGAATTTTTTTGAGTTTGAACAGTAATCCTTGGTGCCAAACGGTGTCGAAAGCCTTCGCAACGTCTAGAAAAACTCCCGAACAGTATTTTTTTGTTTCAAGTGCCGAGGAGATGAAATCAGTTACGCGGTGAAGTTGATGGGTAGTTGAATGATTGGAACGAAATCCGAACTGAATGTCAGGCAGGATATTTTCTTTTTGTGCTATTGACATTAGCCTTTTTAGGATTATTTTTTCAAACATTTTGCCAAATGCCGGCAGGAGACTAATTGGTCTGTACGAGGTAGGGCAGTTAGAAGGTTTTCCTGGTTTCAATATTGTTATGATAATGGAATGCTTCCACGTGGGGGGGAAGTATGAGAGGCGAAGTAGGGCGTTGTATATGTAAGTCAGCCAGATAATTGATTTAGGTGGGAGGTTCTTGATAATTTTATTTGTGATTTTATCATGTCCAGGTGACTTGTTATTTTTCAGGTTTTTAATAATGTTGGAGACTTCGGCAGGAGTTGTGTGACAAGCTGGTAGGGCCATTGGTAGGGGAGAGAGTAGAGATGTATTGACTAAGTCAATGTGATTTAGACTGGGGAGTGAAGAGTGTGGCTTGAAAGAGTCAGCGAGGTGAGAGGCTAATAATTCGGCTTTATCTTGATCATCAACTGCTAGTGAATTGTCTTCTCGGAGTAGTGGTGGGAGAGTTTCCTTATGTTGGAGTAGGGACTTGGTTTTTTTCCAGAGTGTGCCCTTGTTCGGTGAGAGAGAAGCAAGGTGAGATTTATATAGTTCATTTTTGTGGATCTTGAGGATAGATTTGAGTTTATTAGAAAGGGAGTTGTATTTTTGTCTGTCCACCGGATAGTGAGAGTTTTGCCAGCGGTTGCGGGCTCTGCGTTTTTCCGTTATGAGTTGTCTGATTTCAGGTGTGATAAGATAATCTGATTTTGATTTTTGCACAGGTATGGAGGCATTTTTTTTTGCGTTGAGTATCGTTTCTGAGAAATTTCTGATGGCATCGTCGATGTCTGCATGAGATTTTAGCTTGATATTGAGATGTGAGTTACGAGTCATGATGCTACGAAACCTTGGCCAAATAATTTGAGATGTATTATTATTGTTATGCGATGAGATTGAGGCATTTATTTGAATTAGGACTGGAGTGTGGTCAGAAGCTGGATCATTTAGGTTGGTTAGTTTTGCCTGGAGATGATTTGGAAGGGTAGAGATGAAGAAGTCGAGAAAATCTGGGTTGCGGTTCAGGTGAGAAGGCCAATATGTTGGTGCGTGCGGTGCATGAATTTTGGCTTGTTTGGTTCTAATAAGATTCTGTAGAGAACGGCCTCGGGTGTTGATTGTTGCGCAGCCCCAGCAATGATGTTTGGCATTGAAGTCGGCTCCAAGTAGGAATGTATTATTTAGCGTGGATAGATATTGTAGGAGTTCTTTTTCAGGGAATTTTCGGCCTGGAGGAAGGTATGCAGAACCAATGGAGATTGGTATTGAGTCAATAAGCAAGGAAGTGCTTGTTATTTGCATATCGAGTGATGTAGAAGGTTGGGATGGAGTGTGCGCTATTTTGTTAGATATAATTAGCGCTGCGCCACCATGGGCGGTACCATCGGGGTGGTCAGCCCTGAGAATGTTGTAACCGAATATTTTGAAGGCTGAGTTTTTAGTTAGATGCGTTTCGGAGATCATGGCTATGTCGACTTGGTTTTCGATTAACGATATTTGTAGTTCATTTATATTGTTTAGTATACCATTTGCATTCCATAAGAGTATGGTGATAGGTTTGGTAAGTTGGTTAACGGCCATCCTTGATGAATTTCTCGATGACGGTCGTGAGGAGAGAAATCATGGGATTGATTATTGTCTTTAATTCATTGATGAAGGAAGAAAGTTGATTAGTTAGGTTATTTTCAGCAGGTGTCTCTTTTTTGGACCAGTGGTTTGCATGACTTCCCTGCGGTTTGCTGGTGTTGGGGGTATTGGGAAGTGGTGGGAAATTTTGTGAGTTGAGTTTATCTTGAGTGGAATTAGGTTCAGAAGAGGTTTGAGGAGATTTATTATTATTTCTTTGTGAGGGAGTAGTATGTAATTTTCTGTGTTTTAATAGGTCCTTGTGTGATTGGCAGCCTCTATAATTAGCCGGATGGGAGCCACCGCAAAGAGCGCATTTAGCTGGTTCGGAACGGTCTTTTTGACACTGGTTTGATTCGTGACCGTTTCCACAACGGACACATCTTGGATTATGAAAACAGTAACTGCGGGTGTGGCCGTAGGATTGACATCGCTGACATTGAGGGATTTCTTTTTTGACGTGCGGAGTCTCAACTTTGACTTTAGAGTAACAGAGAAGTGTTAATTTAAAAATGTCTTGATTTGACTCCGATTGTTCTAGATCGACGAAAAATAGGGGCAGTGGTGTTTTGGTGGATTTATGAAGTACATTAGTTATGTTTTTAACTTGAAACCCAAGTTCCGATAGTTCTTTGGACATAAAGTTTATGTCAGTAGAGGGGTGAAGATTTCGGATGACTATTCTGTATGGTTTGTTTTCTTTAGATTGATATGAATGAAAGGAGACATTTTCCTCTTTGAGGTACTTAATAACTGATCTGAATGAATCGGGGCTAAATGTTTGAACTTTAACACCTTTTGTGGTACTTTTGCAGACAAAACTAGAGGCGTCAGTTAATTCTTTAAGTTTGTCGCATAAATTATTGTAATTTAGGATCTCTTCAATAAAGATAGGAGGTGGAAGATTTATTTTGATGTTATTAGTATCATTATTGATATCAGTGGGTTGTTCACTAGTGGTATCCATATGCTGATTTTCATTTTCGTTATCGTTTTTATTTCCATTTTCAGAAGTGGAAGCAAGCGGTTCATATCGATTTTTGGATGTAAAGAAAACATTGTTTGATTTTTTAGATGGAGGGGAATTTGCTTGAGGTGATCTGTTGCGATTAGAATCAATTATGTGCCAGTTAGGT